GACACTCTCTCAGCCCACACTCACCGCATTGCGCAGGAAGTCCTTCAGGGTGCCCCCCTCGATGTACTCGGTGAGGAGATTCAGCTTCTTGTCCTTGTACAGCACGCCGATGAACTTGAGCACGTTGGGGTGATCCAAGCTGCGCATCACTTTCACCTGGAAAGCAGAGAGATATAAGCCCCAAAGAAGAGAGTGGAACAAGCCCTGACAGATCTTCTGTGGTGATATTCATACAGAGGAGAGCACTCCAGCCCTGGAGGTCACCTCCAGGAATCACACTCAAACCTCAACCTTAAGGCCATCAATTATCCGCTGCCTCTTCATTTTCATATTGTGTGATTAGCCTGATCTTAGCCTTTAAGGAGACAATCCTTAGGTTTGGCTGACTTTTAAGATACAATTACTCTCCAGGCTAGCTAGCTGCTCCACACTGCTACCTCAGGGTCAGAAGAGCAGCACCAGGTGCTTAGGAATCCCTCTAAGCTAAATCTGACTTCACTAAACATGCTAAGTGGCCACCAAGAAAATGATTTAGCTCAATTACAGCAGGAGTCTTAAACATCATATGGACATTAGCCTTCACCATTTGTATTTGTGCACAAGGCTCAAGGGATAAATGCTGTATATATTCACACAGCTTAATTTGCCTTAGACTCAGAATGCTTTTTATCATTGAAAAATTAATGATCAGGGAGCTGATGTCATGTCTACTGCTCAGCCGAGGTGAGTCACATTTCGCTGCAGCAAACATTCAGCTAGAGTCAGGCTTTGCCCAGTGTGACATCTCCCCCATCACTATCTGATTCCTGCCAGGGCTGGTGTGAACACTCTCCCACTGGAGAAGAGAGAGAAGAAAGTAATGGCACACTATTAACTCAGAAACTTCTCAAAATTTTGCTCTTACCTCTGTCAAGAAAGTCTTCTGTGTTTCCTCATCACAGCGAATCAGCTCCTTCATCACCATCACCTTTCCTGTTGCTTTGTGAGTCACCTGGTGGAAAGAGACACCACAAATACAGGGAAGATCTCAAATGCATAGCACTAATGATATGGGTAACATGCTTCTGAAAACAGGGTAACATCTCCCTCCATTCAGACAGGGGGTGTAGATGGGAGAAAACTGAGATCCCAGGGAGCTGCAGAACACAACATAAAATTTCTTCTTTCAGAATTTAGCAAAGAACCTGCAAGTGAGACGAAGACTACCTAAAGCTGACAAAGTCATACCAGGAGATAGCAGCATCCCAAGAACCAGAGCTGAAGGCTCAGCTTTAGGTAGCACAGGGTTGAGCATGCACACAGGCCGTCGAAGCCTCTGAAGGCAGCAGTTCCTTGCATACTCACGCAAGCCTCTAGTTCCCTTGTAGACAGGGTTTGCCCAGCATGATGCTTACATTTTGTACATGGACCCTAACAGTTCTGTATTAGCAAAGGCATCAGTGTTCATTTGCATCAAAAAATCAAAACGAACAACCCCAAACCAGGGACTCTGAGACTCTGAGACTCCCCTCAGTCTCAGGGACTCTGAAGCCTGTTAGCTTCTGATAAGCTTATCAACCCAACTTTTATGCAAGCTGAGCTGGGACACACAGGCCATTGAGTTAAGGATATTCCATTGTCTTTCCATGCTCCTTGGGAGTAGAGTACTGCTACCTGCAAGGATGGTCCCAGAATGGTGGACAACACACAGAAATCCACCATGAACATCCGACAATATACTTTCTGGCTCTTAAGCATTTCTAGTTCCTCAAGAAATGTTTGCCCTTATACAAACAGTTCCTGGCATTTTCCTGTGTTCTGGAAGCTTCTTTTAACTCTCCTCACTCCCACACCCCAGGGAAGCAAGGTAAAGGGATCAAATTCTGATAAGCAGGTTTCCCCTTCATTTGTTTAGATTGGACAGCTCAGTCTACCTGGGTAATTGGATAATTAAACAAGCACCCTTCTCTCTGAAATGGAACAGAAGGGAACTATTCTGACCAGACACAAAACTTGTTGCATCAAAAACATTCAATCTGAAGTTCAAAAAAGTTGTTGGTTATTTTTGCTCCAGATCCTTTTAAAATAAAAAGCCTTTCAGAAAGCCTCCAGATCTGCAACTCAGAACACAGGACTGAGTTTAGGAAACTGGTGAGCTTTTGCAAATACTGTGGCACATTAGCACTCTTTGGAACCAGTGGACTGAGCAAGGTGGAATATCGACGCGTGGAATGGAGAATAATGCAAAAGAAGCAGAAGTATGGTATTCTTCTGCTCCTGTCTGGAATGAAGCATCCAAATTTAAATAGCTAGCCAGGGAACACCACACATTTTAGCAACATGGAAGCCAGGGACATCTAATACCCAAAGATAAAGGGAAGTAAAAAGACAAAGACACAGACAAGACAAGGTTAAGTGTAATTTTTAAGCTGACATAACAGCAAAACTGAAGTAAGTGCCATGATTGAACCACAAGGAGATTTTAACCCTTAAAACATGCACCAGAACAGGATGACTATCAGGCAGCTTGGTCAGAAAAGAAATGCCTTTGTGCCATTAACTGTGTGAGCACAGATGACAAAAGCATGCGACAGAGTGAAGTTTCTGCTTACCTGGACCTGCTTTTTCTCTACCAGCAGAGGAGAAGAGAAATATGCTCATTAGCATCAGACCAAAAGCACCAGGTTTGTAGTACTGTCTCCCCAACTCTCATGGGAGCATGAGATGGATATGGTGGCTGGACACCTGAAGTCCCATAGCATGGCAAGCAGAAATGAGAGGAACTCACACCACCTTTGATGAGGCAGAGGAAGCTGCTCCCTGGTGCTATTACAGATAAGAGCTCCTGAAGCACCCTCACTGAAGACCATAGAGTTTAAATACAAGACAGAAGAACTGCTATTAATGGCAATTTTAATTCTGAGTCATGCAACCCTGACAGCTACCAGCATATTGACAGACCCATTTAGGCAGTGAAAGGTGCTGAACTGAGGAGCTGAGTTCACCTCTTCCTAAGGAAGAGTCTTCTAAGAGCAAGTTTCCCATTACCCCACCACGGTTGGTGGCTGTGACACAGGCACTCCAGAGCTCTAAATCTAACCCAGGAGACTGGTGTGCATGAGCAAAGCTGGCATTCAAAAAGGACAGAGTCAAATCCAGCTATGGACACAGACAAGGAACAAGACAGAGGAATTGATCTCATTGAGTGGGCCAGGTGAGTTCCCGAACTGATCACTATCAGTACGGCAAGTATGAGAGGACAGAGAGAGCAGGAAAGCTTCCTGTGATACACAAATACTGGTGATGTGATCCATGTTTGGGGAGCTCCCTTACCTTGATTGCTTGCCCAAAGAAGCCTTTTCCTAGTACTTCGCCATGAATTAGGTCGCAGGGCCGGAAGATCTGCTGCGAGCAGCTAGAGGTGGAACGCAGGGATTCCGAGCGACTGATGTCACGGCTCAGAAGGAGAGGCTCCTTTGGAGAACTGGGGCCAGGAGACTTCGAAATGCTGTTACTTCGCCTAGAAAACAAAAGGAGACAGGGAGATCAGGGAAGCTGCTAGGGAGCTTTTGGTTCAATGTATATTATCATTAGTCCCTAAGGAACCGTCTTCCAGAGATGCTTCAGTATTCTTCATATCTCAAAAGCTAGAGCCTCTCCCAGCACCATGGAAGCTCTTGACAAATCCCTAGTAGCTTCCAAGTTGCAGCTGCCTAACAACAGCACATCTTCTGCCCCTTCTCCAGAGGCACAGTTCTGGAGAAGGAACAAGCTGTGAAAAGGCAGCTCTTAACAAAAAATTAAAATATTGTGAAATGATTGAATGAGCAACTAAGGGCCCTGATGTAAGACGACAAACTTTTTCCCAAAGTTGAAATCCCAGC